TCGGAGGCTCCGCCTCAATGAACGCAAATCGCATCTGCAGAATCCTCTGTCACTGCAAACAAGGGAATGGTCTCCACACACCGCTCCTGTCGCACGGCACATGAGTGCGCCAAGTGCAACCTACGGAATCCTGAGCGCCCCACTGTCACAAAGTAGGGAGCCTGTGGCTCCTCTTCGCTCGGCTGCAACAACGCATTTCCCGGGGCCGTCGCCCGGGCCAAATGCACGGGATCAACGGTGATCGCCGGGTACTTACCCTGCAGACTCCAAAACCCCTCGCTGTCCCAAACCAAAGATTTATGCAAAGTGGCAACGGAAACTCCAGCGTAACCATGGGCCCGGGCCCAAATCTGGATCTGGAGAAACAACTCTTCCTCGACATATCCTGGCGAAGGATTTCCTTCAAGCAATGCAGCGCACACGTGAGCCTGGATGGCATGAATAATTTGACGCGCTGTCAAGACATATGCCTGCCCGGCCGACCTTGCAACGGCCCATCTGCCAAGAAAATCCCTCTTATCCGAATCGACGCCTGTTGCGGCTGCCAGTGACGGCAGGAAGTGCCGTGCAGAATGTCCGCTCCAGAAGCCCAGGAGCGCATCTGGCACCAAATGCACCGTCTTGGAGAGCCCCCAGGAGCCTTCCACCAACCGAGGTGCCTTCAGCTCGGCAAGCGCCCGTCGGATGTGGCATGCCACCCCTTCGCCATCCATGTACTCTCGGGACTTGACCTCCCATCCAAGCGTGAAGCGAAGACACAAGAAATCTCTCGGAATCTTGAACTCGTCTGTCTGCAGAAGATTGTATCCCGCTGCAATCCAATCATACCCCGACAGGCTCACCGACCGAAGGACGAAGGCTTGCAGCTGCCCCACACGTTTGCCTGGTCCCGAAGTCTTCGTTCGCGACAAGATGAACTTCAACCCCAGCTGCGACAAAGTCATCTTATTTTCCCAACGAAACTTTCGAAAGCGCGTGCTTCGGGGAACCCTCAACCGCGCTGCAGTTAAAACTGAACCCTGTGCA